AGGTTGCATTTTGTCAATTTCAGATAATTTGATCTTAGTATAACTTATACATGATGATCTACTAGATTCAAAGCTTTTTAAAAACTTCTGTTTTCTTCAGATCTACCAAACAGCACCTTGGAAATGTGCATTGCTATAACATGCCAATCTGTTCCATAAAGTTGCTTAAAATGAAATTATTTTAAATCATTAAAATGTTCTTATTTTTTAGCATTTTCCTAATTTTCCTTGAATATATGAAAATATTCTAGAGGTCCTGAAACCTTGCTTCAGAATTCATGATTGGAATTGTTTTTCCCTCTTTTAAGGATCCTAGATGCTAATTTTATATGACAACATTGAAAGTTGTTTTGAAAACAATTCCTGCTGAGACTCAAGCTCTTCCGATCTGATTTGTTCTGATGACACCCATATTGTAGGTTATTTTGATTGGTGACTTTTTTTACACATTTCAAACTAACAAAGCGTGATTAGCATTTCCTAACCTTTTCCAGTATTTCACATCCTATTTGCATCTATAAAATCTGCCAAGCTCTGCAGGGTTTTGGCTGAAAAGCATTATGGTGGGATGAGAGAGGATAAATATATTTGCCTCACTTTTAAACTAGGGGGTTTTTTTGTCCATACTAATTCTTTGCCACATTGTTTAAAAATATATCACACATTTTGAATGATCTCTTCTACCCTCCTTGGCTGTGATGAAATAGGCATCTCAACACTCTGTTACATTTGGATGTTTAGAAATTATTTGTACAAATGTAAATAGTAGTGTCAATTAAAGCAAAAGAGGGAAAAGAAATAACATTTACTGGGTATCTGCTAGCCCTTGCTATAAAAATCCTTTTTCATTACAACATCCCTCTGAGGTAGGTATCATATACATATTACAAAGAAACTAAGCCTTAAAACTATAACTCCCAATTTCAGGTTACCACACCAGTAAGTGCCAGAGCTGAGGCTTAAATGCTTCTGGCCTGCTCCAGGACACAATTCCCCACCCTATTCTTGTTTCTTAATATTAGGGAAATATCTTTTTTTAACAAATACTATTCCTTGAACTGTTAGGACTATAAACAGTGCCTATATAGAGTTGTTGCAACCCTAGTCTTCAATAAAAAGTGTTTTTCAAAAAAGGAAATTGTTTAAACTGTAGAAGTAAAACATTTGAATCCTTGTTTTTTGAAATAAAGGTGATTTTTTTAGGGGGTAGTTTTTTCCCAAAACATCTCTGGTATTTAGGATAACATTGGACTTCATGTTTTTCTGCTTTAAAAGTTGTCCAAAATGATAAATCTTTGCTAAACTCAGAAAGGAAGTGTTTTTGCAAAAATGTAGAGCTTACAATATCTCTTAGATAATGTTTCCCTTCCTTTTCTTAAATTCTTTCATTGTACCATTAGTTGAATGAGGAGTTCAGAAAAGGGACTATTTGATCAAATTTGTTGTTGACATAATACTGCAAATGAAGAGGCTAATTGGCTGTGAATCTGTTATATACAGACTGTAGCAATGAGTCAGAGATGGGAGGAAGATAATAAAAAAATTTTGAAAATGTTTACTCTTGAGAGGAAGAATACTGTCAAGTACAGGACAGAGAATGCCTAACTTAGCTGTAAGTGAAAAAGATGAGGATCTCATCAACAGAAGCCTTGGTTTGAGTCAGCAGTGGACTGCGGACCTTCCAGAAATAATGCATTCATAAAAAAATGGCATTCATAAGATGATGCTGTCTAGGGAAAGGGAGGTGATCTGGCCCTTACTTTATTCTTTATTGGTCATTTCACAACTGTAATGTTCATTGAATACATTCTGTGTTCCTCCTTTAAGATGTCCTCAGAAAACATTGATATGTACTATATCTCAATGTTTGAAGGTGCTTGACTTATCAAAAAGACTTGGAATGATTTAGGGTCATAGATTTTTTTTCTCTCCTGTGAACCTTTGCAGATGAGTACAAGCAAGTTGGCATATATTTATATCTTTTCGGGGGAATTTATGCTTGAAGAAAATTACTAAAATAATGAATTTTACCTAGCAGACAGTATATTTTCAAAGCTGGCATAGTTGGCTGCCTGATGAAGTAGCGCATCCTTGTTTTAAATTATTCGAGTGTAGGTGAGGATGGGCTAGAAGATATGAAAGTATATGATGTGTAGTTGGAATATAAGATCTCCAATTCAAACCTTAATAGGAATTTGCTTTAATATGAATCTTATTTTAAAAAGATTAAAGTGGTTTCTTAAGACTTTTCTCAGTTTGGAGCCTAGCAACCCTTTATGATAGGCAGGGCAAGTGTTCCCATTTTTAAAAAACAGATAAAATAATAGACTAAGAGAAACTGACCTATCCAAAATTACAGAGCTTTTAGGTGACAGACTTGAGATTCTAACCCTAATCTCCCAATTCTCAAGTTTTTAAAGCTGTATATTTATATTAGCTTTGCATTCATTGAAAATTACAAGGAGCAGCAAATGGTTCCCATAAAAGAAAAAAAATGTAGCTTAAGTTAGGCCTACATTTAGGAACCATTAAGTGGTTACATGTCATAGAATGGTAACTATGCTTACCATGAGAAATTCTAGCTAGGGCACTAGATGAATGATGGTGCAGATACAAGAGAAGTAGCAAGTTGGTGGCCAGAGACAGGGTCATTGGATTATGAACTTCAATAAGAATACCTAAAATTGACTGAGAGTGCTTATTAAGTTTCAGGCACTATGGTTAATGTTTTATATAGTTTATCTCATTCAATCTTCACAACAACTCTGAAGATAACTTTTTATATTTGAAGAAACTAAAACATAGCTTGATATAACTTGTCTAAGGCAGCATAATTTGTAGGTAAATAGTCGAAAAGCAGGAACGGTTTGCCTTCAAAGCTAGTGATTTTGAGTGGCACTTTGATGGTTTCCTGGAACATTGGGATAAAAAAATATTAGCAGTCAGTTGAATAAATGGTTGTGGCTTTTAAGGAGAAGGATTTACCCTGAGGATATTTGGATGTACATACCATATAAATGTATTTATATATATATTGTAGCTATGTATGTAGAAGCTGTATCTATTGTAGCTTCTGGAAGTTCCTAGGAAACTATAGCTTTTACATTTGTATTCCCATCCTTCCTGCATCTGGCAGCATTTCTATGCTTATATAATATTTATTGTGTATTTATGTTCCGTTACCTGGGAACATCTTCTATGAGTGACTGATAAATGAAAGACATCCTTTATATGAGTTACCAGATTGCAGTATCCTTTAGGATGGGAGCCATAGAAGGGCCATGCTTTATTTCTCTCTTATCTGGAAGTTAATACTTAGAGTATATATGAAGTGACGTGGTTGGATGAATGGATGAGTCCATTAGAGAATGAGAGAGTAGATAGTAGAGTTCAGGTTGGGAGTAGCTATCTTAACTTCCGGTAAGGGATTGCTTTTATTCGCTAGTTGTTGAGACTCCAAAGATGATTAGCTTAGATCCTTGTATACTTGTTGAATTAATAAGAGGCTAGGAACATTTATTCCTTTTTCCTGCGAGAGAGCTATGAAAGTCATTTTAGATGTTCCTGACTTATTTTTGTATTTTTAAAATTACACTAGTACTACATATTCATTGTGGAATTAGAAAATTCCAGTAAAGAAAAACAAACTTAAAGGTGTCTAAAATTAAACCACCCAGACATAGCCACTGTAAACATTTTGGTGTATATCCTTCCAGAGTTTTTCCCATGCAAATATATACATTAAAGCATATGTATATATTTATTTAAAATGGGATTGTTACAATCCATATTGTTTTGTAAATGGCTTTTTCATTTATTTTATGTAATTGTCTTTCCATGTCAATAAATTTACATTTTTGTCATTTTTAATGACTGCACACTATTCCATTATATGGATGTAATGTAATATATTTAACTAGTTCTTTACTATTAGGAATTTAGGTTTCTAACTTGGTGTTATTCAACTTGGAGTTGTGGTGAACGTTCTTAACATTACGTACATCCTTGTATGCCTCTTTCCTTTTTAACAAAAGAAATTGATGAACCATTTCCAAGATACACACTGAGATTGCTTTCCAGAAAGGTGGTGCTGATTTCCAGAGTATACCCCATGTCCACATCAACCCTAGGTGTTAATCTTTTTTTAAGATAATTACCAATTTGAAAGGCAAAAATAAATAGTTTGGTTAAAAAATATATATAAAATAAATTTCAAAAAGTAAATGCATCTTTTAAAATTAACCCAAAGCTGAATTCTTTCCCCCTGTATTGCTCATTCCTGTTGAAGTTCATCACTTTTTCTTACAGGTTTGTGAAAGAAAGCTCTATGTACTGGGAATATCAGCCCTTTGTCATATGTTGTACTCCCCCCTTTTGTAATTAGTTCATCTTATGTCTTTTTTTCTTTTGTCTAGCAGAGGAAGTTTTAAACTTTAAATGATTAAATGCCTCTTTGCTTTTCCTCCTCCTTACCCCATGCTATTATTTACCTATATGTTTCTTCTTAATAGTTGTATAAATTTTTAAACAATTAAATGTTTAATCCATGTGGAATTTATTTCAAGATCTAGCCTACTTTTCTCCTAAATAATTAATCAGTTCCTCTGATTAATTATCAGTGGACTTGGAATTTAGGTTGTGTTTTGCCATAGAAAGTGTTGTAGATGATGGTTTAAGTGAGATTTAAATAAGACCATTTATAGTGCCTTTGATGATTCAAATAAACTCATGGACTTACGTGAAACAGATAACCATGGGAAATGCTTTTCTGATTTCACATAATTTGTTTATAGATTACTTTTGGAATCACAACCTTTTAAAAATTGGCAACTACATCCTTGTAGAGTGATTCTACCTTCTTAAAGCTCTGTTTGAGTAAAAATATTCCTTTATGATGATGATGATGATATGGGGTGTGTGTATAAGGGAGAGTGAGAGAGACACTTTTAACTGATAAAAGATCTGTTCTGGTAACTTTTTACTTGCTGTGCTTTTCACAGAATGGACAGCAAATTATGGATGAACCTATGGGAGAGGAGGAGATTAATCCACAAACTGTAAGTACTATATTGGGTCAGAACGGGTACAGAGAAATCAAATACCATTAAATTGAAATATTCTCTTTTGAAACTAAATGAAATAACTGGTAACAGAAATCCATTGATGCTTACATGTTCATTTGACTGTGTTTCTGATTTTTTTAAGCAACTTTTCTTCAAATAGTTTAAGGCTACTCTTAAGAGAATGACAAAATGAATTTTTGAAAAATTTTCATGAGTTTCTTCAAACTGTCCATAGACATATTTATTAAAGACAAAGTGTAAAGATCATACTTTACAGAAATATTTTAAGAATGGAGATCTGGTGGTGTTGTAGTCCATACCGTGATATGCTACTCACCAGAAATAGTTTAATGTAGAAAGTGAACATTCACCATTTCCTTACCTGCTTTTTTTTGGTTCACTTCTTAATCCTTGCACCTAGAACAATACTTGGCACTTCATCCCATTCATTAAATATTATTTTAATTAATTAATTATCCCACCCTACCTGAAGATAACCATTGTCACCAGCTCAGTTACTGTCTTCTTATGCTGTATATAGGACATTATTTATATTTTCAAAGAATGTTCAGAACATGTTGAACATCTTTTTTAAATGGTTCATCCTTTTCTTTGAAGCATGTCCTATATTTAATGTAGCTTTCTTATTATTGTGAACTCATGCTTTGATAGAGTATGTTGTTGTTAAGTGCCATCGAGTTGCAGGCGACTCAAAGCGACCCTATGAAGGAGAGTTCTCAATGCTTGGGTGTCTTTCATCCTTTCTCCAGATTCATAGGGTTTCCGGAGGCCAGCTATTATGGTAGTGGATGCCACTCCTCCTTCCAAGCTTGTTTTAATCGGGGAGCTCCACCCTGCTCTCTGTCCGCATTGGGTAACCAACCATTAACCCATTTGACACACCAGTATCACAGTGTTCAGCCTCACAGCAACCACAAGTGACCACTGTACGGCAACTTGTACACCAGGGCTATACAACCTAGAGGAATGTCTGAACAAAAACAATGAAAGACAGGCCCGAGGGCCACAGATTAAAAGTCACCCACCTTTGGCTTGGTAGCATCGCCTTCTGTCCACTGGATCAGTGATCTCTCTATGTTGATGTTATTGTTGTTAAGTGCCGTCGAGTCGCAGGCAACTCTTAGTGACCCTATGAAGGAGAGTCCTCAACCCTTGGGTGTCTTTCATCCTCTCTCCAGGCTCATAGGGTTTCCGGAGGCAAGCTGTTACGGAATTGGGGAGCTAGGCTTTATAAATTATGTGCTGGATCGAAGCATTGTTGTTATGTGTCATTGAGTTGACTACAAAGCATAGTGATTCTGTGAACAATGACTCTGAACCTTGCCCTTTTCTGAGCCAACCTCACCATCTCTGACACACCTGACCCCATTGTCACAGCTATTGTGTCTTAGTTCATCTCATGCAGGATCTTCCTCTTTATGCTGAACCCTTACTCTTCCAAGCATGATGTTCTTCTCCAAAGACTGGTCCCTCCTGGTAGCATACAAGGGGCAAACTGGTTTCACCCTCTCTGCCACAGACCTATTATTTTCTTTTGGATGTTGATAGTATGTTCAATACTTGTCTCCAGCACCACAACTCAAAGGCATGGGTTCTTCTTCTGTCATAGTTCAGTTCTCAGATGCATAGCAAGCATTTGAGAAGACCATGGCCTGGATCCAGGCACACCATAGTCTCTAGACTAATATTAATGTTCTTTAGCACTCTGGAGAAATCCTTGATAGCACATTTTCCTAAGTCAGCTTGTCTTTTGTTTTCCTGCTCATCAATAACTCAGTCCTTTCTCCATCTATCATAATACTGCCTGTTGGCCCAGTCATTGATGATGATCTTTGTTTCTTGATGTTGAGATGGAATCTATATTGAAGGCTTCAATCTTTGACCTTCTTCACTAGACGCTTCAGGTCCTCCTCAGTTTCAGCAAGCAAAGTTGTTTAATCTGTATAATGCAGGTGGTTGATGAGTCTTCCTCCATCCCTGGTGCCACATTCTTTTTCATAAATTCCAGCCTCCTGCGTGATCTGTGTCACATATAGATTGAAAAGGTATAGAGAAAGGATACATCTCTGCTCCATTTCTGTCTTGATTTTGAACCATGCAATGTTCCCTTGCACTGTTCAGACAACATACAGCTTCTTGGTCTAGGTATAGATTTTGCATGAGCACAATCAATTGTTCTGGGATTTCCATTCTTCTTAATGTTAGATACAGTTTGTTGTGATCTGGTCAAATGCCTTTGCATAGTTGATAAAACGCAAATAAAACATCCTTCTGATACTCTCTACTTTTCAACCATGATCCATCTGACATCAGCAATGATATCCCTAGTGCCACGGCCTCTTCTAAATCCAGTTTGTATTTCTGGCAGTTCTCTGTTTTATTTGGATTTGAATAATCTTCAGCAAGATTTTGCTTGCGTGTGACATTGTTCCATAATATCTACATTCTCTAGGATTTTTTTTTAGAACTGTGAATGGATAAGGATCTCTTCTAGCTAGTTGGCCAGGTAAGCTATCCTCCAGATTTCTTGGCACATCCTGGTGAGCACAACCAGGGCTGTATCTGTTTGTTGAAATAACTCATTTGATATTTCATCACTTCCTGGGCCTTTATTTTTTGCCAAGTCCTTCAGAGCAGCTTGAACTTCTTCCTTTGCTATTATTGGTTCTTGATCATATTCTACTTACTGAAAAGGGTCTTTGTCAGCCAATTCTTTTTGGTACTGTGACTGTATTCCTTCCATCTTCTTTTCATGCTTCCTGCATCATTCAGTATATTGCCCATAGCATCTTAAATATTACAGCTCACGCTTGAAATTGTTCTTCAGTTCCTTCAGCTTGAGAAGTGCCAAATGAGTTCATCCTTTTTTTATTTTTCTGACTCCAGCTCTTTGCCCATTTCGTTATACTTTGCTTTGTCTTCACAAGTTGCCCTCTGAAATCTTCTGTTCAATTCTTTAACTTCCTTATTTCTTCCCTTTGTTTTGGCTACTTGGTGTTTCTAGTGCAATATTCATTCTCCTCTGACATCCATCTTGGTCTTCTCTTCATTCTCTGTCTCTATAATGACATTTTGCTTTATTCATGACTATTCTTGGTATCATCCCACAGCTTGTCTTGTCTTCATCCATCAATGTTCAATGCCTCAGACATGTTCTTGAGAAGGTTTTTAAATTCCAGTGAGATAGACTCTCATATTTTGGTTTTTGTGTATTTGGTTTCATTTTCTTTAGCTTGAATTTGAACTTGCACAGTCAGCACCTGACCTGGTTTTCATAGCTGATACTGATCTTCTCCAATGATGCACAGATGTAATCGATCAAATTTCTGTGTAGTCCATCAAGTGAGGTCCATGCATATAGTTGCCATTCGTGTTTCTTATAAAAGGTATTTGCAATGAATATAAATCATTGTATAAAATTCCATCTTTTTATCTTCAGCCTCATTTTTGTCACCAAGTTAATATTTTCTGAATACCAGTCTTCCTCTTTGTTCCAACTTTTGCATTCCAATCACCAATTATTAGTAATGCTACTATTTTTTTAAAAATTATTTTTGTGTGCATGTACCGTCAAATCAGATCTGACTGGTACAGGAGGAGATTGCCCCTCCTTCCCCGGCAGAGCATCTGGTGGATTTGAACCGTACACCTCTGGGATTGTAGTTGCAGCTTCTTGCCACTAGGCCACCAGAGCTCCCCTAGTAATGCTCCTATTACCAGTAACAATTACTGTAACAGTGAAGCTGAACCTTGTCCTGTCCTGTATCACCCTCATCATCTCAGCTATATTTGATTGTTAGAGTTACTGTGTTGTTTCATCTTGTTGAGACTCTGCCTCTCTTTTCCTGATAGTCCATCTTTCAAAGCATGACTTTCCAAGGACTGACCCTTTCTAACAACATGCCCAAAGTACATGAGATGAAGTTGCACCATCCTTGCCTCTAAGGAGCACCTTGATTGCCTTTCTCCAGGACATAATTGTTTGTTCTTTTGGCAGTCTAGAAAATACTCAGTACTACTTCTTCTGTCAATCTTAATGAATGTCCAACTTTCAGATACATAACAAATAATTGAAAAGGCCATGACTTGAATCATGTGTACCAACTGATATCATTGCTCCTTAACACTTTGGAAAAGTGTCTTGACAGCAGATGTTCCTAGTGCAGCACATCTTTTGACTTCCTTAACTGTTGCTGCCAAGGGATCCAAACAAGATTAAATTATTGACAACTTCAGTCTTAGAGAAAAGATCATGATGTTGCCTATTGGCACAGTGCTAATGATTTTTGTCTTCCTGATGTGGAAATGTAGTCCATAGGGAACAAAGCATAGGAACATTTAAATATCAGTAGACATTGCAAAAAACCTGCTGCCATGGAATCAAATCCACTGAGTCCCACTTCATCCATTGGTATGTATCTTTGCTATATATCTTTACAGGAGACTTTCCATTTTCCTCTCTCAAATTAACTGGTGAGTCAGTGATTTCATTTTACTTGGTTCCACAATCAACACACATGACAGCAACAACCAAGAAATGAAAAGACATGTTGCAGTGAGAAAATCTTTTGTCAGAGACCTTTCCAAAATGCTAAAGAACAAGGATATTAGTTTAAAAATTGAAATGTGTTCAGGCCAAGTTAGAGTATTTTCATTTGCTTCCAATATGTCTGAAAGTTGAACTATGAATAAGGAAGACAAAAGAATTGATGCTTTTGAGTTACGGTTTTAGTGAAGAGTGTTGAATATACCCTGGGCTCCCAAACGTGCAAACAAATCTGTTCTGCAGGAAGTGCAGCCAGGGTGCGAGGATGGTAGAGTCGTCAGAGAGGAAGACCCTCAAAAGATGGATTAAACAAGATGCAGTGAGCTTAAGCATGGTGGAGATTATGAGGATGAAACAGGTTACAGTTTGCATTTCTTGGTCAGAGGGGCTCTGTGGGTCATAGTTGACTAGACTTGACCTCACAGAC